CTACTTGCCAAATAATGTTTAATTTACTATTTTCTTCCATATTGTGTACAGGAATGCTAATTTTCTGCCCAGAAAAGGAAATATTGTTCAATTAATAAAGGTGATTCATTTCATTTTAGTTGGACGATCAACTAAAATGAAACATTTGGAATATTTAGTGAAGGAAAAATCAGGGGTTTTTGCATCACTAATGGGAACAAAAAAGAGACAGAATATACACTGGATGGCGTTTCCTAACAATATTTTTAATTTTTCTCTAGGTTTTCTAACCAAGTATTTAAAAATGTAAATCATAAGTATTTTTCTGTCCTGACACAATACGTTTGAGCCTCAGTAGCTGGTTATGACCAGAATCCCACAAGTTTCTGCACATATTTGACTCAGCACTGTCAGGGGCAGAGTAGGAATTGGAAAGCCTAGACTTTCTTAGCTCCTGGCAAAACAAGAAAGACTCCTACAAATCCTGTGGAGTCTTCCAGACGATGGTGTTGTAAAGCAAAAGCTAGAGAAAATGCTTTTAAAGTATTCCATTAGTTTTTTTAAATGAATAAGTTGGAGGAATTATAGCTATACACATGCTGCAAAGATCACTGCAACTTATTTGTTTTCACAATTATTTTCCCACACCTTCTTGTTACTTTTAAAAAGTAATCCCTTGCATGTAATTTGGAACTTTAATGGATTACATTTGAAAAGCAACTTTCCCCATTGCCAATGTTAACGAAGGCTCAGCAGGTTCTGTATATCTGAACGTTGTCAATAAGTATTATCCCATGTAGTCTGCAGTGCACTGTATGTGGTTTCACAGAGCAAATGAAACTAAATAATCTTATTTCAGCAACAAATTTTGTGAAAATAATAGCTTTTTGAATATAAGGGTGTGTAAGTAAGTTTAGCCACAATTTTCAGACTGCCATATGGCATAGCTTTGTTGAAAATGTTTCTCTCCTGCAGATTCTCTGCACTCTAAACACTGTTGCTGTAAATACATTTTAGGAGTGTTTTAAATAATTCATTTCTAACAGCCAGAGATTAAATTGATCTGAAATCAGGGCTGTTCAAAATAATGTCAGTGGAAAAACACAGAATCAAATAGCTAAAATTATCAAAGTATCAGGAACACACTGTTTCTAAGAAGTTTGATAAAGCAATCAATGTATTTTAAAACAAACAAGACAAGCATTCATCGGTAAGACACAGACCTGTCCCCCAGACTCAATCTTTTCAGTGTCTGTACACAGTCTTTTCTGACATTAAATGGGATTTTTCAATTTTACCTTCTTCAGCTACATCTTCCTCATCTAAAGGGGACAACCACATTGCATCCATTCCCCAACAAGATGAGTATTTTACTCAACACTAGATTTAAACTGAAATGTGTAACCCTTTTCAAACAGATCAATGCAGTCAATGTGCTTTGTTAATACAGAGTGAGAAAGTTCAAATTATCATCAGTCTTTGATGATAACACCACCTGTATTGCAGTGAGCGTACCGTGAGGCAGCACATTATTCCATGTAGTCTGCATTGCACAGTGTGATGTCACAGAGCAGATATAACTACACAGTCTTATTTTGATGATAACTTGTTAAATCACGATGTGATTTACTATGTTTGCTTTTCTGTCCTTAAACTGGAATATGTTTCTTGCATATTTGTATTGCATCTTTACTTCAACTGAGTGTGCTCATATCATTAGTAGTATCAAAAGTTCTGAATAATGAATAATGTCAAGATATTTTCTGTCATTCCTTGATAGAATTTGGCTACTCATATCTGACAATTTCAAATTTGGCTACTGGCAATATTGTTCTATAATGATGAATTTGTATTTATATCACAATATTTCCATTTACGTCTTGAGTGAAGCAGACTTTCTTAAGCAACATGACCTCCTTAAAACTGTCTATTTTAACTAAAAGCTTGGTATAGTTTTTAGGACAGGCTCCATTAGAAATTACCCTAGAATGAGCATTTGTATTGTAAACCTTTTTTAGAAGTAGTCATTGTTTATTTGGGTATGACAATTACTATAAAATTGTGGAATATGCACAACCCACTCTTTTTGTTCCATTGAGTGGCAAAGTTTGATTTATCCTCAAATCTGTTCTCCCTTTGAAGCCATTTTGTCACAACTGCAAAAAAACGCTGTTAGATTGAGTTTTCATTGGAAGGTGAAATACTGTACCTCCTTATAAGCTCACATAATACACTTTTACAGAACCTGCAATATGCCCTCTTCACAACTAGGCAAATTAAGGTAAGTTGTGAGATGTTCTGTGTAGGATCTAGACCCATTAAAATAACGTGTTTGTGTACTTTATGACTTTTATATGATTTCAGAATTATTCAATATGCCATCTTAATTAATCTTTATGATTACAAGAGTAAAGGTTTGATCTTATTAGTTTTGTCTTGGTCCTGCTTGGTGCTGCCCTTTGATTATTTTCAAAGATGTGCGTTTTAAAAAATGAATAGTACCAAGGGTTTTGCATATCTCACTAGCTTTGCACTGTGGGCATCTTATTTTTATGACAGTTACAGATAATAAAAACCTAGGTGTTCACATACACTGTAAGTACAGATTCTTTCAACAAACTAATTTTCAAAAATTGTTTTCTGGTATTAGGTACCTTTTCACTTGTTATAGATCCACACAAAATAAGAAAAGGTGTTATGTGTTGCTTACACAAAGTCTATAGCCTCCCATAAAAAGGGGGAGAAAAAGCATTTTAGATGCCATATAACTGTTTGATTATTTCTTGAAGAAATCTAATGTCCTGCAAAGTCTAATGTCTTAAAAACATCTACATACTGTAAAGTAGTAACCAGTAAATATAAAAGCTTTTTGGATCAGCACATTTGTGTGAGTTATTTAAAACTGCACATTTTTCATACACTCAAAAGACACAAATCTATAATATCATCAAATTTTTATCAAAGTTTTCTGCAGCACTACATCAATACTAGAATAAAAAAGAATGATCTTGTATTTGACAACTTAGCATAAATTATTTTAAAATAATGATAACGGTAATAATTAGTACCAATGGATGCGGCAAAGCGATATGAACAATATTAATTAATGAAAATATCAGTGGATATAATCTTGATTTACTATTTTCTATTTCATGAATAAAAGTTTTAATCAAATGTTTGGGAGGAGGTCAAACCCTAGTCTCTCCTACTTCCACCAACTGATGTATTAATATTGCTCCGGCTTACCAGACCTTACCTTACTAAAGCTTCAAATGAACCTTTCATTTAAATGTATCACTTGAACTGATAAGTATATCCTCTTTCTTATTCTATTTTAAGTCTTCATCATTTAAGAATTCTGCATTTAGTTTTGACTCACTTCTTTTCAGGAGTTTTGACAGACTTATGTCCTCTTATACAGGTTATAGTTCTCCTCTACCAGATGATTCAAATCATGCCTCTACTCAGCCTTCAGTAAGGGTTTTGCCATACTACTGAATTCTACAGTATATACTGCATAGAGTATGTTAATTGTGTTGGTAAAAACAATGTAGCTGTGTGTTTTTTTTTTACAGGAAATAATTTAATCTCAAAATATGTTGCTTGCTTAATATCTTAATCCTTTTTGTAGCCTTGTTATCAAGGTATAGTAAAAATGGCAGCTTGCACAGTGGTATATACATCTCCAGTAAAGAGGTATTCATATCTTTAGCTACCTGTATATTCCACTGACTGTACAAATTGTTAAACTGCTGTTAAAGTGATGTCTTGACCTGGAATCAAATAATTGAAGTTACAAGGAAAATGTATATTCCTCTGCATTTGTTAGAATATGCCAAGAAGATGACACTCTTGCACATTGGCAACACAGACTTTTTGTCAATGGAGGTGCAATAGTCAGTGTAGTATGATGGGCTGTATTGTAGTTTTGAGTCACTTAATAGTGGAGGGGATAAACATTTAAATTGGTTTGTGTGTTGTTATTTAGCACTTCAGCACTGAGCATAGGAGCCAAATGGTAATGAAAAAAACTGGAGATGTCAGTAAAGAGATGTCAGATTTGTTTTGCTTCTGTTGTGTGTGGCAGTATCCATTTAGTACACCACGTACACAACAATGTTCCTAGAAACTTTGGAAACGTTGTCTGTAACACAGGTGCTCATAAGATACTACTTTGTAAAATGAATGGTGTGTTGGAGGAAATGTCCTTTAAGATGTGATGTGTTACTTGATTCAGTAACATACCGTACGTTCTAGGTCACTGTATCTAATTAGTCTTTAAATTCATTTTTCCTCAAAATTATTGTTCATTTTAACAAGTAATTCCTTATACATCTTACCCATAACTGAAATTAGTAGGGGGTGGTCAGTTGGGTTGCAGTGCAGGATATTAGTTTATTTCAGTTTATGCCTAATTAACACACTAGTCTACACATACAGACAGCATTTACAAAGGGCTACTGTTGCAAACAGTAACCACACAAAAATGAGCTGCCTGCATCTGAAAAGACACAGTGTGGTACAGAAACATTTTGCACAGATATATTGTATATTTATTTTGAAATTCAGACTGTAATATGCTTCTAAATGTACTGTATGTTCGTTTAGTACAGTCTTGTTTGTTTGCTTAGGCTGTGATACAATCTACTGTAAAACATTATAAACACAGTTGTGATATTGTACTACTGAAGCATATTATGGTTGATTAACAAACTGTAGATGTTTATACAAATAACCCTCATGTTTGGTATTTTTGTTTGTGTTGACGTTTGCTACATTTGTTCGTTGAAAAAATAGAAAATGGCATCCAACATTATTCCACGGGTCCACGATAAGGATGACCAATAACCTTTTCCTTTTTTATAAAAACTGCAGCTGTCGCAAATAGCAATAGGTCCATATGACTACATTTTTGCCAGTGCTTTTATATATGCGGGGTTTCGCAGTGGTTGTATTGATATCCTTGTGAAACCATAGAAACGGTTGGAGTGGTAGTGGAGAGGGGGCGATGAGGTCAGCAGACTAGAGTCCTGGAGCTGGGTTTAACCTCAGGCTCAGAGGATGTTGTGGGCTCATTGAAAATCAATCAGAAAATAACACCATATCAAGGAGGTAATACAGCTTGCGTCTGAACCAACAATGCATAATTAATGATTCCGGACTCTGATTCTAGCACAGGCGTTAGTGCTTGAAGGCTGTATCACTGAAAGGAGACGAATGCAAGACCGGTTGAAATTGGCAGTCTGCAGACGAGACGAGAAGCCTGTCCAACTGTATAGTGACTTGGAAGTTAAAGGATTTTAAATGAGAAATACTGTTTAAAGCAACAGCGACCGTTTGAGATATTTTTTTTTCAGGAGGGATTTAAATTAAGGAACACACGAATAAAATATGTGAAAAAATGAAATAAGATGTTAGAAAATTAACCATATCGGCGTGTGGATTTCAGTATCATCGTTTCTGGATGAAAAAATATTTTTAAGAAAATGCGACGGCATTTGAATGCACTACCGAATGTTTTTTTCAGCTGACAGTAGAAAGCAAACACTGTAGGATAGCGACAGTGAAGGCAGAGTCTAATGGAAATGTATATGAAGACCTCGGAGTACAAGAATTAACGGGACAGAGAAGAGGGGTTGAAATATCGGGGCGAATTGGCAGTATTGTCCCCTTTATGTGTTTAAATGCACAGAGGGGAAGAAGAAGGGGGGAGTTGAGATAGGGAGTAGCAGAAGCAACACTTGAAAGAAGGGAGAAAACAGTGGCAGTGGGGAAATAGCAGAAGACTCGAGACAGCGCAGCAATCGGATTCATTAATCTGAGCTCTGGGCTGCGCAGGGAGCGTTGAAAGGTATGGGCTGCGCTCCCAGTATTCACGTCTCTCAGAGCGGGGTGATCTATTGCAGGGACTCGGACGAGTCCAACTCCCCCCATCAAACCACGACTATCTCGCAGGGTACCGCGGCTACTCTGCACGGCCTCTTCATCAAGACCGACGCGGCTGACTCCATCCCATCAGTTCTCGCCTACCAGAGCAGGCACACACGGACCAACTCTCGCCGGGACCGCAGAGAAAACAGCGGAGGACACAGCTGCATTGAGGCCGAGACACAGACAAGCCAAACGAGCGTTAAGGTAATGTATGGGCGCTAGTGAAATCAATGGCTTGTACCGAATCACAATATAAAGCTGATTATTAAGAAGTAACTGGTATAACTAGTCTGTGGAAATGTGGATAATATTCGCACTACATATAGTACAGTATTCATTAAACATGAATGGTTTCTTAAATAAGTTATATTTGTATTTCAATGTCGGAAATATGGTACAACCATATAAAGAAACACCTGTAATTTGGAATATAGTCTTTCTAAACCATTATACACGAGCCACTACTAATCAGATGGGCGAGTAATGTCAAGGGATACTTTAAAAATAGAAGTTGAAACTTTACACGCTGTTATTTTCCACTTTGGCATACTGTATTTCTCGGTTATTTTTCGCACCGAATGTTCTAAATTTTGAAGAATAGTTATCTCCCCCTCCCGCTCTCTTTAAAAATGAAACATTGTAGTCAAACCTAAGGTATACTGTAGCTATTTCTTAGACTTAAATGGGTTAAATCAAATCTGCAGAGCAATTTTTAACATAGCAAAAGTCAGTCCTGGCAATGAGAAGTCAAAAGGCCAAAGAATATTGTTTTCTACGCAGTCTTTCATGTTCGATAAAGTGAATTGCAGGTTGCAGTATAATCCTTGCGTTATGGGGAGGGAGAGGAGGGGTTAGGGGTTATACCATCCAGGGAAAATTTTAATAAACAGAGTAGTGTCATATTCTTCTAAAATGTTATTAACACAAAATGTATCCGTAGCTTCAATTTTCTTAAAGTCGTGCAGAAGATATTAAGACGCCTTTGTTCTTGGAATTCTCAAATGTATATGCAACACCTTTATACATTTGATGGGTGTGTGTATAGTAGGCTAATAATTGTATTTTTATTTATTATGTTATTTTCCAATTTGTGTAATTCGTGACTGTATTAAACTGTTAGATCGTGATCTATCCTACGTCAGCATGCTTTATACTAATCTCAAAACCATTTGAGCAAACATCATATGCAATGTTGTGTACATTACAGTTACAATCTATCATCTTATGAAAACTAAGCTTGTGTGCCTATCTTTAGACTGTAAATGAACATTATGTACACATCGAAATATGTCCACATATAACTTCTTAGCAGCCAGCTCATTTTGTCATATTGAAAGGCTTTCCCGAAATGTGACTCAATTACTGTTCCCAGGACATAAATCTCTAATTATTGTCATATATTTTTTTTTATTTTTTTGAAAGAAAGTAGAGCAGACTGTTAAAGTCATCTGCATTTTCAGAAATGCCAAATGAACCACAGCATATGAAGAAGCCTTTACACAAAATCAGTTAATGCAGGCTCTACAAAACATGCCACATACTTTTTACATTTTTATTTTGGTTTTTCCTGTTTTTATGAAAAACATTTTCATTTTTCTGTACATTTGTTATAAGTCTTTAAAATTATGATCAGAACCACTGTCAAAGTAATACTGTAGCAATAAACACACGGTGTTGTACTTTTGAAAATAAAACTAAGAGCTTTTCTCAGATTTATGCATAAACATTGTTAATTTATAAATTACTGCTATGAAAAAAGTGTCTGCAGTTTAGTTGTTGTTAGTTTGATTTTGTTTTGGATTGTGTTTCTAATTTTAATTCTTGTAAGGACAACATGGTATAGGTTTGAAATAAGGACTTCTAACTGTTGAAGCGATACCTTTCACATTTCCATTTTAAAATCTTTACTGTAGCTCAAAGGAGGTGCTGTTAGGAAGCAATTATAAGTTTAGATACATTATTAAATGCTGTGAATGCATGTTATTGGTTACTGCTTAAATAATTTCAAAGTATAACTTGGAAATATTCTAAAATACACAAGTATCCTCTATACTCAGAATATGACTACATTGCAGACATGCATAAAACAACAATGTGTGTGTTTGTATATGCCAATGTAAACACAATTCAAGTCACAAACAACACAATTACTGACAATATATGCAATAAACCAATAGTGTAAATTAAACACTGTTAATGTATTATTAACTAAACCACAAAAGGCTTTAGTAACACAATCTGAATGACTGATAAAACACAACCAAAGGTAATTGCTATGATATTTTAGGATGTAACAATACTTCAAAACCTTGTTGAGATTATCACTCATTGAATAGATTTTTGGAAAGGAAGGTGTCAAGACCACAGACATATTTTATTTTCAGGGGAACATTCCAGTTCTACTTTCTTTACGTCAAAAAACATAGTTTTGATCATTTAAAACCACAGTAAGAACAGAGCTTTTCTGCTTCTGTCATTCAACAACAGCAGCTTTCTGCAATCTACTAGCAAGGTGGAAACTACAGTACATTTCTTTGGCTTGTGCTACTTTCAATGTACGACTAAACACTTTTTTCTTTTCTTTTTTAAGGATGTTGTTAGTCATATTGTAATGAGAAAAGGCTGCTAGTTTGTTTAGTAGAATGGAGTAGTGTCTTCTTAATAAAGGCACATGTGACCACTGTTTAAAATGTCATACAGTACAACACAAGAGATCTAAAAATACAATGAGTACATTAGAGGACTACTCTTCTGACATAGTAGTTGCTATGAAGAAATGCACGAAGATGAAAAACAAATCTAAAGTATTTAAGACCTTTTCCTTAATTAAAACAAATGATTTGACATACTGTCGTGCACATACTGTACAGAATATGTATCAGTTCATTGTTGTATAATTTTTGTTGTATATAAAAGAAAGTTGCATTAGCTTTATTACGCTGCAAAACAAAATCTTGATATGTAACTGAATCCAGTTACATGTCAAGAGTGATCAGTTCTTGTTTTCTTAGACCAAACAAAATGAAAAATTGTGTAATATTTCATGTGCTGCAGTCTGGTATGCACAGATTAACTGCCAACATTTTTAGTGTCCTTAGTGAATTAAAGTCTGCACAAGTGCAAAATGCAACAGTTAGGATAATGGATGTTTACTGTCTTTGTATATTGAATATTATATATTCGTCTTTTCCTTGGTTTGGTTAGATTTCAATAGAAGACAATAGAAATAGCTGGTGCATGAAGCTAATGCACTCAGTTACTTGAATATGGGTTTATGTTTACATATTAGCACAATTTCCTATATATCCATCCATTTTCTAATAGCTTTATCCATTTCAGGGTCACAGGGTTGCTATCTTGGCAAGAAACGGGCACAAGGCAGGGTACACCCTGGACATGATGCCAGTCCATCTCAGGGCACACACACACACACACTCACACCAGGTCCAATTTTGCCAGAAGCCAGTTAGCCTACTAGCATGTCTTTGGACTGTTGGAGGAAACTGGAGCACCAGGAGGAAACCCATGAGAACACAAGGAGAACATAGAAACTCCACGCAGAGATAACCCCAGGTCCTGAAACCAGGGCCTCAGTGCTTACCACTGTGGCACCGTGCCACCCTGTTTCCTATTTATGTCATAGTGATTTTTGGTGCTGTCACCTGACCAAATACCTCTTCTTCAAAAACTAATTGTTTGAATAAAAATAGACTGGGAGAACCATACATTCAACTCTGTAACTGATGTGTTAGGCAGAAGTGAAAAATACTGGAAACATTCCCGAAAATGAAAGACATGAACTGTGATGTGCAAAGGAGGATACTGTATACTGGATATAAAGACTATATCAATTTCCATGACCATCACCACCATCCATGTTATTGTGAAAACAGTTCATGTACCCAAACCCAATGCCATTAATATATATATATATCACAACACGTACCTAGGAATTTTCCCCCCAAAACTGAATAGATCTCTACATTGTGGTGACATTCTGATTACCAAAACACCAACTTATTGTGTAGCTTTTAAAACACCAATGGAAAACACAATACAGAACTCATGACTGAGCTCTGTTTTATAGAAATAACCCTGTACTGTTTTTGCCAGAAGGAGTAAATTAAAGTGAAATGTAATAAATATTCATTATATAGTTTCAGGCTGGCAGTGTAAATGTTACAGATTAAGAAATGTTAATCAAATAACAAATAATAACATTGTGTAATAAAAATAGTATTATTTATAGACTGTGTTGCTGAACTATTAATGATTTCAAAGCCTACTTTAAAAATCCATCAATCTATTTTCTAATTGCTTTCTCCAATAGCATGCAACATGCGTAAGGCAGCACACACCCTGGTTGAAACACCTGTCCACCGCATTCGTAGCGGTACAAGGTCCATGTCAACTAGAGTTAAGTTTTTAATCAGTAACAAATATGTATTAATGGCGAAGTACAGTGCTCTGTATCCCAAAACTATACTGTCCCATCCAGAGAATAGTCCCACTTAACCTCCAAAACAGGCTCCGGGTCGTCATAGCCTACACCAGGAATGAGTGGCTTTCTGACAATCGAAAGATGGGTGAAAGGGGCGCAGTTATACAGTACACAAAGATTATAATAGTTTGTGTTAAAACATAGGACATTTTTCCTTGTGTGGGTTTAGGCAGTTTCTTTAGTAATGATTCCATGTAGACTTTGATGATTGCAAAGTTCTTCTGTCTTTCTATAGTTGAATTTGTCTCATTTGTAGTTTTAACTATAATGCGCAAAAACATTGGTATCATGGGAGAAAGCACAGAACACAGAATCTACAATATGTAGCAGACACATGCACATATATGAATATGGCCCTTTGTAATTTCTGTTTGTCATGTGATGGTTCTCAGTTGTTTACAGTATGGAACTCATTGCATGGCAATATGTATGCATTGGTGCTTAAGTGCAATATTCTCTTAGGGAGCCTGTACTGCTGTTAACATTCTTTCAGCATATGCATTGTCAGACAAGAGCATAAAAGCTTCAGTGGGATGTCAGAGAGCGGTAAGCTGTCAAATAGTGGTAGAAAATGTTCTTTGGCTACCCAGGGATTCTCAGTACACATGCAGATTATTGTTACATCATGAAGGACAACACACTACAGCCATATAGGATTTATGATCTACTGTTCATGAATCTTTTTTTTTCTGCGCATTTACTG